AAGAGCAAGGAGCCTTTAATTTCTTCCCGTTGAGAATTGATTGTTGCGAATCAAACGGAAGAACGTTGGAGCATCCGCGCTGGTTTAACACGAAGAGGAAGAAGTCGTAGACTTCAATCCTCAATTCTTTTTTTTCTTTCTTGCGTAAATCTTTAAGAGGACAAGGCCTGGACTTCTTTACTTGAACTGCATTTTTGGCTTTCTGCGATATTTTTCTCCAAAAAATAAGATATCTGATAACTTGGGTTAGGAAAAATAAAATAAAATGAAGACAATAATAAAATGTTAAAAAATAATTAAAAACCTACTATTTTTAAAAGAAAATTAAAAGATTGTAAAAATGAGAATTAAAATAAAACTAAGCTAAAATACTAAAAATTAAACTCTAAAAATATTAAAAATAGCTAAAAGTGAATAAAAAGAACTAACCCAAACCCGAGTTATCAACTCCGCTGTCCTTCTGTGGTGTTTTCTTTGCAGGACTAGTTCATAAAGATCTCGCTGCATTCTGTCCTAGTGCGTAATGTCCTCGCAATCCAGTGCTTAAAGACCTCGCTGTCCAGTGCTTAATGACCTCGCTGTCCAGTGCTTAACGTCCTCGTTGTCCCGTGCTTAATGTCCTCGTACAACAAGGCCATTTGAAGATATAAATTTTTTATTTTCCAACTTTGTTTATTTTGTAATATTCTGAATAAATTATAAATTCAGAATTTTATTTATTTTTTATTTCTGGGGCCGTTCATCTTCCCCGTCCGTTGTAATCCGTACGAGAATTGTAACATTATCAATTTTATGAATGGAACACTGGAGAATCGGAGATACTTCAAAAACACAGCGGGGCTACTAGTGACATCGTTAGGCAATTTTAAAGGAATCTTACCCTATTTGCATATCTTGATTATAATAAATTCTAACTACACCCTTAATTAATATTTTTAAGGCTCCTTTTGGTACACAGAATTCAAAATATGAAATTGAAATTAGAGAGAACAATTCCAATTTTACTGTTTGTAACACAAAAATAAGTGGATTTGGAATTAGTAGTGCCAAAAATAGATTGGAAATGAAGAATTTAATTCCATCAAAATTGATTCAATAAAATTTCAACTCTCAATTCAAATTAAATTCCATCAATTCGATGTATGCTTGTTAAAAATTCCAACGTAGGAACTTTCGTAGTAAAAATCATTCTTTGAGAGGAGGGGACTACATGAATAAAGTCGGAACTAAAAATCATTATTCCGAGAGACCTCAAGAGAAAGAAAAGTCATATACTCCGTACACGCGGGCCGGGAGACTAAATCAAACCCCTCCTGAACGAGCATATATATATTTACCTCAACCAGTTTAGTGTACTCACAAGCACTACTGGACGAGTTTTATTCTCTCATTAATTAGAGTATATTAATTATATACTTTGTTCCACCTCCATCTCCAACTCTGTCTAAAGATATATACCCAGAAAAAAAAAACAATAAAATGGGCAAGGTATTATGATCTCCATGCCATCATCTTGATAATATGTTCTGTTCTTTAAATTCTATACTCCCATGCTTAGCTTGCTAATTAAAGTACTTGTAGTAATTTACATGAAGTTTAATATTTCATCAATTCCTTTGGTAATTATTTGCAGCAAAAGGCAGTGATTAGCGTGATATTGAAGGATGAGAAGGCTCGCACCAAGGCTTTTAAGATTGCTGTTTGCCAGCCAGGTACGTAGCTAGCTAGAAACAATTTTTTGCATATCTCACATCCCAAAAGCAGAATTGAAATTCAATTTTTTTTATTTGTTCCCTGTAGGAGTTGTTGCGGCGTCAATACAGGTAGAGAAGGGGCAGATAGAGGTGGTGGGGGAGTTCGACGCGGTGGTGCTGGCCACCACGCTGCGTAAGAAATTGGGCCACGCCGATCTTCTCACGGTGGCGCCCGTGGTCGAGAAAAAGGATGAGCCCCCAAAGGGCAATAAAGCCGCCGCCGCCACAAAGGAAGAGCCACCAAAGACCCAAACCGTGACAATCAGTAACCCTCTCACCTATTACCCACCGCCTTCTAACAGCACACTCTTCCCTCCATACACAGTACCCCATTATTATAATGAAGATGCTGGATGCACAGTGATGTAAAATCATCCCAATTCAATAATGATATAAGTAAATTCATCTACTAGTTCTTTGAAGTTCGATTGTTGTTCTTTGAAGTCAAGAGTCAACGACATTTATCAGATCTATTAGTTTTTCTTTTTTAATTACTACGTACAACTGTATTTTAGTTTTTTTTGTTTGAGATTAGTTAGAGAAAGGCTCAAAACCCTGCAATTCTATCGTCTTCTTGCCCCGGCTCTACAATTCTATTGTAAGACCTTTTTACACTTTCTTTCTGGGCTTTAGATCCTTCCGTGAATGTTTGTTCGATTGTCGTTCTGCGTTGGTTGAAGTCAAGTCAAGAACTCTTTAAATTATTTTAGTTTTGTCTTTGAGATTGGAGAAGGCTCAATTATTTGTGCTGGTCCATTCATATACGGAGTATAATTTGCTGAACTGGACTTGATTAGAGGTGGCAATCGGGTCAACCGGATCGGTTTCGGGTCAGATTTTTTCGGTTCAGATATCTTTCGGTCAACCGGATCGGTTAAATTTTGGTTCGGATTTGATTCTGTTCTATACATTTTTCGGTTCGGTTCGGTTTCGAGTCAGTTTAGATACGGTTCGTTTATAAAGCAGTTCAGATAGATTTTAGTTCGGATACAATTTGAGTCGGATATATTTCGGTTTTGGGTTTAGTTCGGTTCGAATATATTTCGGTTTCGGATCAAATTTACGGAGTATTTTGGACATATATTATTTTCTAATTAAAATTTAACTATCCGTGTTTCTTTTTATGTTTTATCACATTTATCAATCTATCATCAATTCAATACCTCATATTATTTTATATTTTTTCTAATTATATTATCTCTACCCTAAATAATCCTCCCTTTTTGACTTTTTAGTCATATTTTACAAATTTGGACTACAAATTATGAAAACATATATATTTAATTATGATATAAATTTAATATAATTAAATTGATTTTAAAATTTAGTTTTGAAATATCAAATTTTTCTCACATCTACTAATATACTTATGTTTATAAATGAAAAGATAAAAGATAAATTCAAATAGTGTTATAGTAAAATTGGATGAAATTAAGTGAATTTTATTCAATTGAGTGCAAAATTTATACTCCCTCCGTCCTATAATGATCTTCCCGGTTCGCAAAACGAATAAAAATCTCAAGTTTTTTCAATCTATTTTATTTAAATATTGGTATAGAAATAAAAAATAAAACATACATATTTAAAAACTACACCAAAAGTTCAACAAAACAAGTGGTGACAAGAATATTTTATTTTATCATATAGGCCATGAAAAAACACAAATAAATATAAATTCCCGTGAAGTTGGAATAGTGCTCTGGGAAGATCATTATAGGACGGAGGGAGTAAATTATTGAGTGTATTTGGTTGAAAAATAAATAAAANTCCTATAATGATCTTCCCGGTTCGCAAAACGAATAAAAATCTCAAGTTTTTTCAATCTATTTTATTTAAATATTGGTATAGAAATAAAAAATAAAACATACATATTTAAAAACTACACCAAAAGTTCAACAAAACAAGTGGTGACAAGAATATTTTATTTTATCATATAGGCCATGAAAAAACACAAATAAATATAAATTCCCGTGAAGTTGGAATAGTGCTCTGGGAAGATCATTATAGGACGGAGGGAGTAAATTATTGAGTGTATTTGGTTGAAAAATAAATAAAATTAAATTTAATAGAGTCAAATATAACCAATTTTACACCTAAATGTAATGGTGTAGATCAAATTTGAAAATGATAACACTAAATGCTACCACTAGAGAGTCTTTTCAAAATGCTAACACTAGCATCTAATTTTATTGACTAATATTGAATGAATTGGTTTGAAGCTAATCAAATTAACTCTCAAATCAATGAAATTTATTGTAATCGGATGAAATTAGGATAAAATCTAGTTATTCCATACAATTCTTCATACATTCCTTTCGTCCCAAAAGGAATATCACACTTCACTATTTAAAAATTACAGAAATTTTATTTGTGTGTGCATTATCATTTATATGTATAACTTATCTTTAATTTCTACATATGATAAATTTAAGCCATGAAATTTATACTTTTTTCAAGAAGATAATCTATTTAATTAATTCAATTGGTAAAATAAAAGAAAAAATTTAAAAATATAATATGCTTATTGAAAGGCAAACATAATTCTGAATTTATCGATTTTAGTTCTAATCGGTTTCGGGTTTAATCGGTTTTGGGTATTATTGGGTTCGGATCTAATCGGTTTTGGGTTTAATCAGTTCAGATATTATCGGTTTCGGATTTAAATCGGATATGTGTTAGAATAATAGACCAACGCTAGAGGGGGGGTGAATAGCGTTTGATCGGAGAAATCGCAGGAATGAAAAAATTAAAAGAGAAGTAAAGAGAAGAGTAAAAGGCACACCGAATTTTACCCTGGTTCACCACAACTTGTGGCTAATCCAGCCTCCCGAGAGACTCTCTCGAGCTACACTACTATCTCGTTAAGCTTACGGGTGCTTAACAAACCGTTACAACTTGAGAGTTCGAGTCACACGAACCTCAACAAATCCTTCAAAGGAAACAGACCTTCCTTTGAATCAACCGAGAGAGATACTAGAACACAAGTACACTCAAGAACGAGACCCTCTTATAGAGTAGATTATGAGTAAACTAAGTACGCTCAAGAACAACTCAACCTTCACACAAAAATGGGTCTAGAAAGCTATGAAAAATGATGA